TGCTTCACTTCTCTTTCTCATTTCTGTGGTCTATGCATGACTTGTCGATGGAAGACAAAATGGGTCGATAAATGTAAAGGTTCAAAATTAATTGTGTTGGTCAGTAGCCACAAGTGCCATGTATTCCTCTATAGTTGATGACATGAGGTTACATCAATCATGTCATATCCGTTTGCATAATGCATTGTTCAGTACTTCAGTTGAATGTTAATATTGACTGGATAAAGTTACATTTTAAGAATTTGTGTTTTACATTTACATTTTTAGATATATTTATTTATTTTTCTGTTATTGTGAATAGTATTATTATTATGTGAACTGAATGAAAGACTTTCTCTAATCGTTATTAAGTACTCTATCGTAAAGTTTTTTTTTTTTTTTTTTTTTTTTTTTTTTTTTTTGACTTTGCTTAGATCCTTACCTTTTGTACATACAGTTTACTTTGCAGTTGATATTTTGTTTAATAATATCATATGTGAGATATAAGTACCCCAGAAAAAAAAAATCTCATATAGAGATATATTTATTTTCTTAACAAATTATAAAACTAGTTGACTTTCCATGGATCGATCCTTATATTTTGTTTTGTACAGGTCAATTCTGAGTTAATAATTTGCTTAACCATGTACTTTATAACTGTGAACTTTATTTATTTTCTTCTTAAGAAATTGTAAAGAAATTATATATTTTTTGGATACTTACCTTTCTTTTGTGCAATGTAATTTTGATAGTTGTTTACTATTTCTATTTGCATTATGCTTACTACCTTATCATTGTTTATTTGATTTATTTCTATGTTACATGGAGATTCATCTTGTTGGCAAGAACTTTAAATGAGTCTTGACAGACCATAGCATTGGTCTGATTGGGGAAATATGAACCTGCCCAACAGGTCCCTATTGTATGAATAAATAAATAAAAATTATAATACGTGTCCAAAGTTCAGACTTTGGACGCCTATTGTATTTTTTTAAAAAAATAAAACTTTACGGGTCCAAATTTCTTGAACTTTGGACGCTTAAAGTTGTTTTTTTTTTTAAAATACAATACGCGTCCAAAGTTCCCGAACTAAGATTGCCCGTATATTTCTCCTACACCACTCATTGTTCGATTAGCCGACAGGACCGTAAGGTACCCAAGAGGGGTAGCGGAGGTTGTGCTTGTGAAAATAGGTGAAAACATTGTACCTGTTGACTTTTTGGTCATCAACGTTGGAGAGGATATATATGTACCTTTAATTTTTGGTAGACCTTTTTTGGCTACTTGTCGTGCTCTAATAGATGTGAGCATGGGCAAGTTGACTTTGTGGATAAATGATGAAGAACTCAATGAGATGCCAAAAGGTGCAAAAAGAGAATGTTTGTGCAGTGAAAAAGAAGGTCAAGGCGAAAGCCAAGATCAAACCATGGTAGGAGATTGAGAAAGTATCTTGGATACCTAAGTGCTTTAAGACCAATGGCTTTGAAGGATCGTGAAAGAGGAAACAATTCTGTCTAGCCAACTACGGTAAATGTGGCGCTACTTGGGAGGCAACCCAAGCTATATTTTTGATTGTGTTGTTTGCTTTGTTTGAATAAAGTTGCAATTGTAGAACGTGTCTATAGTTTTTGTCTTTGTTTGGTACCATGGAAGCTATGGTTGGACACGACATGGAAAACTGGGCAAAGTGGAGAGGAAACGAAGAAAAGAGCACAAAAAGAAAGAAGGAGGGGAGTCCACCAACACAACCCTCCCACGCACGTTGAAGTGGCATGGGAGTGAGTCAGAAACTTCAACGCACAGTAGGGGCATCTCTAACGCACGTTGGTGATGCATTAGAGAGAACTAGAAGGTTCAACGCACCACTCCGATGCACGTTGGAGTGGCGTTGGTAGAATCCAGAAACTCCAACGCAAAGCTCTAACGCGCGTTGGAGCTACCTTGGAGACTTCCAGAAACTCCAATGCACTGTCCAACGTGTGTTGGCCGAGCAGCAGGGGAATGCGGAAATAAAACCCCTCCTAAACCCTTTTTCTCCCATTCTTCTCCCACTCTACGCAAGATAGCCTTTCTCCAACGTAAGGTACACCACTCTTCTTATTTTTCCTCCATTATTGAAGTTCCAAAAATCAATTACTCTCAAGATGTCTCAAGCTCCAAGAGGTAACCATTCTAATCTTCAATGCTCCATTAATGAGTGTTTAAGCTTTCTCTCTCTAGAATGGAAAATCCTAGTCTACATTCTTGTGTGTATATTGATGGTTGATATCAAGCTTATTAAGGCGACGCCTAGGCGTCTGGGCGGTCAAGGCCGCCCGCCTAGTCCGCTCGCCTCGCCTAAAATTGGCGAGCCGAGCTTGGGCGTCGCCTAATCGTCGAGGCGACGCCCTGAGACGCCTATGTCGGCTTCGACCCGGGTCGAACCGGGTTTATGTTAAAACAAAAAAAAAAAACAAAGAGATGGGCTGAAATTAAACCCCTAAGAGTAAGACCTAGTCTCAGCTTCGCATCTCTTTCGCAAATAGCAACTTCAACGTCTCTTTCACAAATAGCAACTTCAACGTCTCTTTCACAAATAGCAACTTCAACGTCTCTTTCGCGACTTCAAACTGACTGACCGGCGACGACTGAGGGACCGGCGACCTCCTCCTGCTGCAACTTCAGGCGACCTCACAGGTAAACTTTCTTCCTTTTTTTTTTCTCTTCTTTTCTTCTCTTGTGTCTCTTGCTCTGTAGTCGTGTGTGTATAAGTGTATAACTGAATATATATTTTAAATATAAGGCAGTGTGTGTACAGTGTGGCAGTGTGGGTGTGTGACACATGTTTTATTTATTTATTTTTTTTCTTCATATTCATATGCTGTGTTTCATTATTTTCATATACTTTGGATGTGTGGTAGTTTGGCAGTTGCACTTTGGCAGTGTGGGTGTGTGAGATGTTGTTTTTTTTTGTTTTTTTTTTTTCATATTGGTATGCTTGGCAGTGTGGCTGTGAGGCTGTGTTTCTGTTTTATATATGTTGTTTATTTTTTATTTGTCAGGTTATGGAGGACGAAAGTACTTATGATCCATCAATGGATCCTAAAAGAAAAGCTAAGTCTAAAGACCCCGGTTGGAAGTATGGCTTTTGGCCAGATTTAAGTAGAAAAGAATTGATCGAATGTACGTTGTGTGGAAGACAAATTAGCCAAGGCATTAACGGCCCGTTTGGTTCACGAAATAGGCCGGGAATGGCATAGCATTCTCAGTAATAGGCATATTCCTTTGTTTGGTAACCATGTCTATTACTAGGCTTAATATTCCTAATAATAGCCTATTACCTCAAATAAGGTAATAGCTATTACCAGGCCTGGTAATAACTTATTCCTGAGTCCTCAGGAATAGAATTTTTTTTTTATTTTAACCTTTATCATTTTCTGTCCCCCATCTAAGATTCCTTCCCCGATTCTTTTCATCATCAGTATTAATCAAACAATTTCTTCCGGCCATTCTGCATCAATCTTTGCAATTCTTTCTATCATCTACATCAACATCAAATTAAAGCTTCAAACAAAGGTAATTTTTTGAATTTTATTTTTTACAAATTAATTATTATTGATATTTAATACTGAATATTCATAGTAAGTAATCCATGTTCCTGGGCAAATTAAATTAGCACTGCATCAAGAAATTTGTAACAATCAATTCATACAACATCATTTTTCAAATGATTATTATACAGTAAATTAATCAACAATAGTAAAGAATACTCATAATCCCATGCGTTTCATTACTCGTTCAAATTGCTAAAAAAAGATGGTGATAACAATATTGTTTTGCATGAAAGCATACAACAAAATATACAATTATCAGAAACATCCCTCAGGAATGTTTCAGGGAACAAAAAACTCCGTGAACCATTTTTTTTTTTTTAAATACCAGAAAGCTAACCCGCATTGTTCAAAATCATCGTTAACAAAGATCACATCAAGTGCCTAATTTTCTTGTCCTTGAACAAAAGCTTCTTCCAACAATGAACTCTCTTTAATGCCTTTCCCTTTTCTTGTTAAAATTCTTAAATCCCAAAGAATTTGCATCAACCCACAATTCACCTATTCCCAGAAACACAGTTATTAACGCCGCCGACGAACCATGTCGTCCTCTTTCGTCGTGCCGCTCCGTACCGCTTCAAGTGGTTTACATAGCCATGACTTCTATAATATATATATTTTGATCACTAACAATGATAGAATGATTAAACAAATTAATTCTCAGGCTTTTAGAGATAATTATGTGAAATGGCGTGAGGGAGATAGATAAATTAATCACTTGTAATTCCTTGTTTGCTTGAACTAATCACATCTCCTTGTATAGTGAAGATAGGAGTCTTAATTATCTGACAAGTTGTTGTAGAAAGATTCCTTGAATCAAGGATAATCTCTTATCTTGAACAAAACTCCCTGACGCTTTCAAATTCAGTTGTTCTTTCACTTATCAATATATTTGTGTATATATATGTTAATTTTTATAAAATATTGTAGTTGCTATAGAATAACATTATTTAAAAACATATGTAATAATAATAATAATAATAATAATAATAATAATAATAATAATAATAATAATAATAATACATTTTTTGTATAGGGGTATTTATGTCTTTTAAACTCATATTCCATTTCTATTTCTTAAACCAACCAAACACTGAAATAACATTCCTAAACTCTATTCCTTCAACGAACCAAACAAAAGAATACAATTCCTGTTCTACTCCTTGCCTATTCCATTCCTTATGGAATACTATTCCTATTCCTTTAAAATTCATTCCATGAACCAAACATGCTGTAAAAGATTGAAACAACACTTGGCTAAGGGGTATGGAGATGTTGTTGCATGCCCGAATACAACAACAGAGATTATGAAAGAAATGCGAGAGTATATCTTAAAAAATTCAAGGAACAAGCAACTAAATTTGGATTACGATGATGAGGATGATGGTTCACAAGAAGTGTCAATGGAACCAACACAACCAAGATAACCATCATCTCACGACTCAATTACATATCCTAGTTCGGGGACTAGTTCTAAAAAGAGGCAGTCAGCTTTGAGGTTTGCACAACCGGCACAAAAAAACAATTGCTGCAATGGTTAGGAAAACCCCATAAGAAGTAGTGGAAGAAAGGCGCAGCAAGGGTTATCAAAGAACCCTTGAAGATTGTAAAAGAATTAAAGAAGAGAAAGAGAGAACAACAATGCATGTTGCAAACTGTTTCTATGAGTGACATTCCCTTTAATGTCTCAAATGCTTGGAGTTTTGAGGTAACGTTAGAGTCCGTTGCACAATTAGGACCCGGGTGGAAACCTCCTAGCTATCATGATTTGCGGGTCACACTCTTAGAGAAAGAAAAAAAGGAAATGGATGTGTTGAAAGACAAACATAAGGTTGCCTGGAGGAGGTATGGGTGTACTTTGATGTCAGATGGATGGACTGACAGAAGAAATAGATATTTGATAAACTTTCTTGTCAACAGTCCGGAGGGGACCTTTTTCTTGGAATCTCTTGATGCATCAAGCGAATCCCATGATGCCAACATGTTGGCTAGGTTACTAGAGACCAAGATTCAAGAGATAGGCACAGAAAATGTTGTCCAAATTGTGACAGATAATGGTGCTAATTACAAGGCAGCGGGTAAGTTGTTGGAAGATAAGATACCTACACTATTTTGGACTTCCTACGCGGCACATTGCTTGGAACTCATGTTGGAAGACATTGGCAAGTTAGTTGAGTTCAAGCAGAAGATTGAAAGTTCTAGGCGCATCACTACCTTCATATATAGGCATGGAAGGATCTTAAATGCTATGAGGGAGTTCACAGGTGGTAAGGATCCTGTGAGACCCAGAGTTACTAGATTTGCCACAGCCTTCCTTACCTTGCAGAGTTTGTCCAAGCATCAGAAAGCTTTAAAAAGCTTGTTTGTTAGTGATCATTGGACTACTTCTAAACTAGCAAACACACAAGCTGGAAAGAAGATCTATGACTCGGTATTTTCTACTCGATTCTTGACTGGGGTGGAAGATTGCATTAAGGCTTCTCAACCGATTCTTGTTGTATTAAGAATCGTAGATGGTGATGAGATCCCAGCTATGCCCGAGGTTGCTATGGCTATGACTACTACAAGGAGGAAATTGAATGAAGCATTTGCAAGTCAATCAAGGTTGCTGGCAAGATTGATGAATATTGTGGATAGACGCTGGCAAGATCAGATGTGAGTTGACTTATATGGAGCAGCATTGTTTTTAAATCCTTCAAACTATTTTGAGTTGAAAGAAAGTGATAGTGAATATACTTCTAAGCAACGGGCCATGTTTAATGAAGTGCTTGAGAAGATGGTTCCAGATCAACAAACACAACTCAAAATAGCCAATCAAGTTGAAGAGTATGATTATTTGCGAGGAAGTTTTGGGAAGCAATTAGCCATCAAACAACACTAAAAACAAAACTCCTCGTAAGTATTATTTAAAGTTTTAAACTACAACAAGTTTAAACTTTAAACAATGTCTAGTTTTATACTTTTGAATTTTGATAAAGTAACTTACTAAGTATGATATGTATTCATATTTTAGTTGATTGGTGGATGGATTTTGGAGGCAATCATTTTGAGCTCCAAAAATTAGCAATGCGCATTATTTCCCTCTGTTGTTCATCTGCCGGTTGTGAACGTAACTGGAGCACCTTTGAGTTCGTAAGTACTTCCTACTTAGTACTAAATAATAGACTAATACTGTTATTTGTTTCTAAGTTACTAAAGTAGTAATTATTTTTTATTTTCTATAATTTAGATTCACACAAAGAGAATAAACCGATTAGAACATAAACGGTTGAATGACTTGGTTTATGTGAAGTATAACCGGAAGATTGTTAGTCGGTTTCAAAAGCGGCGTGAAGAAGGAACAAACTCCAACCCATTAGTTCTTGAAGAATTTCAATGGGAAAATGAATGGGTGGATGCATGGTAGTAATCATAATGATAATGTTCATGTCGGTGAGGACCTCACTTGGAGTCTTGTTGATGAGGTGCTTGGTGCTTCAGCTAATTTGGAGGGAAGAAATCTTCCTACAAGAGCTCATGCAGGTGAAGGCACGAGTGCACCTATACAATATTCTCGGCGTTGCAATACTTCATCAATGGGAGGTTTGAGGGATGATGTAGATAATGAAGATCTTTTCCCAAATGATGATGAAGATATTGATGATGATGAAGAAGATGAAGGAATTGAGAGTGATGACAATAATGATGGTGGTGAAGGGGGCGGGATTGAATTAATGGATGTTTAAGACTTGGGAGTTTGAGAATTGAGACATTGGATATTTAGTATCATAGTATTGTGTGAATGTGTGATGTTGGTTCTTGACTTTGAATTGAATGTTTAAATTAGTGCATATTAGACAATTTAGTATATATATTATATATTATATATTTATATTATATATATTATATATTACTCATCGCCTAGTTATCGCCTGGGCAACTAGTCGACTAGGCGGTCGGCGGCTTGTCGCCTAGAAAGTCCACCTAGATAACCTTGGTTGATATTGGTAAATATAGACTAGTTTTGTGTAGAAGATCATGATATTGTAAGAAATTTGTTGATTTGATGCTTAGATTGTTGAAGATGAAGTACATGCATGAACCCTAGTTTGTAATTTGGGGATTTTTGAGGGAATTGCATATATCTCTTCTATTTTGTGGAATTGATGATAGACAAAACATGATTGCATGATTTCTAGGATCAATTGTGTTTGAAATTGAGTGCATGCTACTAGTCCTTGAATTTCCACACACCCACTTGTGAAATCTTCCATTGTTAAGTTGGAGAAGATGAAGTTCACTATTTGACCATGAGCTTACATTGTGAAATTGAATGAATGTGCTATAATGATTAGTCTTCTTTGTCAAAATTTGTGAAGGGAATTGATCAAAATATCGGGGAAACTATATCAAAATTTTTGTAAAATTTGTGGTCACATTCTTGAAAGAATTCGAAAAAGAAGAAAAAAGAATGAAAGGGGATGTGTTGTGTTTTGTTCTTAAATAGTGTAGTTGTGTGGTAAAATGCTTTGTTTCCTTCATGGATAATTGTAGAGGACATGTTCTTTCTTGAGTAATTGTAGGAACCATTAAGAGGAGACGAAAGGAATTGGCCAAAAAGGCTAGGCATGACCCCGCTAGCTCAAGCTGTGCACAAGAACATGGTGAGAGCACGGATAAGGAATGATTGACGAAGGACAATCCAGAGGAACACGACCAAGTGTTCGGAAGTTGAAGGCTAAAGCTTAATGTCGTGCAAATAGCAAAGGTGGAAGAGTTAAGGAGATTGAAGGTATCTGGGGGGGAAAATACTTTAATATGCTAATCTTAGACTCATTCGGATGTTAGGAGGAGGTTGGAAACTTAATTGACCATCCACAATGGAGCACGATCTTCGGCATGAGGGGCAACACCTACGCACCGGTGGTGTACAAGTTCATTGCCACTCTCAACATCCAAATGACAAATTTGAATGACAAGAAATCCATCTCCTTCACCGTCTTCGGTAATGAGCATGAGTTATCAGTGAATGAATTGGGATACTACATAGGAACTCACCTCGAGGATGAAATCCACCCTGACTACTTTGAAAAGTTTCGAACCGATTTTTACACCGATCAAGAAATGAGGAGCTTTTGAAGAGAAATTTCGGACGACTCAAACTATGATTCAAGCAAAACCAACCCGAAGGCCATTATGCTCAATGAAATGAAGGCAGTGAGATATGCCTTAGCGGTTACATTAACAGGAAGGAAAACCAACTTGCACAAAGTGTACCTGTAACACCCCGTAATTTACCCTTCAAACCCGAATTAATTATCTAGTTAATTCTTAAGTTGCCCCATCATTATTTTAATGATGCCTGTTAAGTGTGGTTAAAAGGATTTAATCTGGCCCGAAATTCCTTAATTTATTGATATGGTTCATGGTGAACCGTGGACCCTTGTCTGTATTTAAGCCTTTAAGCCTGTTAGAATAAAGGAGGGCCCATTACTAATCAGATTCTAATTGAGAATCCTAAACCTATTTAAAGGGAATTAGAAATCATTTAGAACCCTTATTCACACATCTCCCTCTCTCTCGAAAATCCCTCCCCAGGATATAGTCAAAGAATTCCCCATCACCAAGCTTAGGAGAGATCGATCAAAGGACCTTGAGGAAAGATCTTAGGAGTTGTGAGAAGTTTAATTAAGCTAAAAGGTAACCCATGTCTCACAAAACCTATTTTCTTTGTTATGTTATGATTTATTGGTATCCTTGAATGATGGAATGCGTTGTCTTGTGTTTATGCCTCGATAGAGCTTGTATTTAGGGTTTGTATTGTTGTTTCTTGATATTCTTGATGTTCTTGATGATTCTTGATGTTCTTGAGCGATTGTATGCATATTCTTGTGTTTATGCATGTTTAAAGCTTGTGCCTAGGGTTCAATAGTGTTGTTCGTTGAGTTGTTCTGTGTATTCAAGTCCCTATAATTGTTGATGTGAGTTTGGACTTGAATTTGGCAAGATTGGTGAATTCCCGGAGTGGGGAAAATTGCCAAGGGTGTTCCAGCGGGTAGTTGGCGGGGGGACGAACCCCCACCCGACCACCCGCCGAAAAGGCGTGAAGTTCCAGTGGGCGGCTAGCGGGTGGACGACCACCCGCTGGAACATGGTGGCCAGCTGGCGGGTAGTCCGGCGGGTGGTTGTCCACCCGCCGTACCACCCGCTAGTACGGTGCGTTGCGGTGGTTTTCGGCCTCCGTTTGGTCGATCCCCGTGCGCCGAAGTGTCTTCTTTGATGTTCGTAAGTCTAGAGCGATGTCCTAAGTACCGTAAATAGGTGGTCGATCCCCATGCGTCGAAATTGGTGGTATTGCTCAAGATATTGCGCTGCGGTGCATTTATCTTATGTTAAGGTGTTGGGGTACCTATGTTATAGCACTGCGTGTGCTTAGTTTATTGTGCTGCGGTACAATAAGGTTTATGGCACTGCGAGTGCTCAGATTGGTGGGAAAGTTGGTGGAAAAGCAGGCGGGGAGCATTGCTCCGGAGGGATAAGGCTGATGGT